CCGTGGAATCTAAGTGAATATAATTACGTCAGAAAATTACATCAATAAGTAATCATCTAATTAAAATTTGATATCTGTATAATCAATAGTATCAATTAAAGTTTTATTTCATGAATTTTTTCTTAATTGATCAGTTCTTTAGAACTTAACTTTATTTTCCAATACTTAATGCCAATTTCCTAATACTAAAGAAGTTTGTTAATTGAATTTTTCTGTTCAATACAATATTCGAAATTTTTTTGTAATAAATTATTGTACTTATTCGCATAAATTATTTTCCTGAAGCAAAGAATGTGATATTCAACATAATTGCTGTAATCATAATCAGCATCATTCAGAAATTTATTATGCTGAAAGTTGATGATGAAGTTTTGTTGATGTTTTTCGCTTGGTGAGCATTTAATAGGCATGGTTAAAACATCAACAAGATGAGTTGAATTGAGTAGGTTCGTTGAACATAATACTTATAATTTTCTTGAAATAAATGCTTAGATTTGTGTACGCTTATCATTATCTCGTTTACATACGTTATTCCAGTGGAATGAGCACAAACCTAGTCTGAAGGAATCTCATCCATATTTATCCAGTCCCTTCGTTCACTCTTCCCTGTCTTCACAGCCTGCTGTCTGTATCAATTTAGTCCCATATGAATTCAACAAGTTCCACAGCAATGTAATGCCAAGTTATTTTTCTGTCGTCATGATATGTGCTACTGATATCATCTCAAATAATATCGAAGTCGTTTATATATAGGTACTTTCTTAACAAAACAATAAAATATTTTCTTTTATTCTACTTCATCTGTCCGTTACTTGATTCTTACGGTATTTCTTATTTTTATTTCTTGTCAAATTCGTCGTGGGAGTTACTCGAGTGTAAAGTACGGTTTAGGTTTATACTACTAGCTCTTTCAACCTTTCAGTGGTTCAATCTTACACTTGAATTGTTGTCGATGTTAAGCGCACTTGCAGCTGCGTGGGAAAACCTTTTATATTTTTTTTTTCTTCTTTTATCTCTCACTGGATTTTTCTTAAAACCAATAATTCGCAATCGAATACTAAATCGTTGATGGAAAAAGTTGCTTTTGGTAGATATTTTAGACGAATTTTCCTTTGATGTGGTTTTGGAGAACCTACTTGAAGTGATGTATTTTACTGGATAGATTTTTTTATCACAACTTTATGAATATTTCAATTAAACATCAGAACATGAAGTTGAATATCATATGAATTTTTAACGAATTTAATTTGTATTTACTAAGTCTGATGAGAGCTAGATTATTCCCACCTTGATAATATAATCATTCAAATCACTTAAGGAAGTGAGGAATTTTGCATATTGATAAAAAAAATTTATGAGCGAATGAAGAATTTTATTTAGTCCGTGAAAATATTATTCTTATGGAGAAAACTATTCATACAATTCCACATAGATTTTCTTATTTTCATTCAAATCAAATCGTTCTTCCTGTATGCTTTTAAAATATTTAAATTAGAGAGAAAGAAAAATTTTTACTATAATTACATCATGTTTCAATGAATGCATATGCGTTTTCATGTTTTCAATAGCTGTATATTTAATTTCAATTCTTCAATAATGTAGTCATAAAGTTCTGGTGCTAGAGTTGCACATCCGGTAAAATTTGCCTCCGGTTTTACTTGCGTGTATATCGATTTTGCTAACAATATCCTTTTAAGTACTCCCAGTATCATATCGTGATAACATGTAACTGTTGAAGATATACTTTATCCATTAGCTGAATGAATTTTCATCAAAGCATCCATCACCCATCAATTGAGTGAATTCATGCAATTGCTGCAAAAATTTTAACCTGTGATCAATCACAAATACCCTATTTTAAAAGATTGTGGAATCATCTGGAAATGGAAAAACATGATTAATTTTTAAGTCGTTTCTGTTTTCAAAAATAGTTTAAAACATTTATCACACCCTTGATGATTACCTTACAGTACTTCTGAAAGATGTTAATCTTTTTACTTCTTCAATATTTTATTACATGAAAAACTTTTAACATTGCATATCACTATGTAAAAAAATTGAAAAAAATCAAACGAAGCGATCCTTACAGTTGTTTTGGAATTCAACAGCTTTCTGGAGTTGTAAAAAGAAATTACAGCATTCAGGAAATTTTTTTCATGTCATCTAGTGATAACATTTCAAAGAAGATGCTCTTAGCTTTTCTCAATGATATTAGATTCATTACTGGGTGACATTTATTTGGGGAATTATTAGAGTTCAAAGTTCAAAGTAAAGTTCTTACTTTTAACAGTTAATATCTTTGTGAAAGAAAGTAATTTGGTGATTTCCAAAAAGAAATTCGAAGAAAAAAGAACTTTAAAGTACTCCTAACCACTGGAAATAAACTATTGATTGCTTCTTTGTTCATCAAAATACGCTGATTTCTCCTTGAAATATGGCGTTTTTAAAATTTATTCCAATTTTTTATTTCACTGGTAATCTCTCTATTTTCCTTGATAGCGTATTTTAAATTTCAATATCTAATGACTTTTCATACCGAAAAAAATCATTCGAAAATGAACTGTGCTCATTTTATAAAAGTTATTTTACTACTCTATAAAATTTGAGTGTTTTCTTGATGTTAAGAGAATTATTAGACTCTTTGAATATCAAATTTTACCTTATTTAGATGAAAAAAAAAAACAATTTAAGTCAATACTCCCGAGTGCTCCTAGAATTTCGAGTATAATCGAAGGTCTTCTACCTGTCTCAAATCTCCTGGGCGGTCGTAAAACTTTATTTTCTGTGAGTGGGCGTATGTATATACTCAAGTACTTGTATATCGTATACATCAGTACCTCTTGAGGATATTTATGGATGAGAAAAAAAAATCTGTTCAGTTTTAGATTTTGCTATACTGATAACGATTTTCGCATAAACCTGAGTAAATTTTATCTTTTTTCATATTTAAATTTCTCTTTGATAACTGACTATTTTATGAATAATTAAAATATGTCGCTTGATTGCAAAATTGATAAATATGCAAACTCATTCAAATGTTAATTTAAAATTAATTTTTTCCAATTATATCAATAATTACTGAGAGACATTTAAATGCTATATTTTTTTTCATCCTCTAGCTTTTACTGAATAAAATAAAAGAGATTGAGATCGTCAGCATAGACAACATTTTATGATACCTCACAAAAAAGTTAATAAAATGGATCATTAAAGATTCTATTGCAGTTGGTTTGTGGTTGAATTTTAGTGAAATTTTAAATATTTATAAAATATCATCTATAAAAACAAAATGATCAATAAACATGATAAATAACTAGATAGTTATTTTTATAATTTTTCTATACAAATACAATTTTTTTGTACCAATTAATAACTAATTGGTCATGAAGACATAGATAAAATAATAAAAAAAACTTGGAAATTTTTTATTCAGTATCTCAAACCATTTTAAATTCCCATTTTAGCATTTGTACTGACAGTCTCTTACTAAACAATCACCATAAATATCCTTATAAAATATTTATAGTATTTTTTTTAGAATCGAAGAGTGCTTCAAAGTATTTTATCAGGATATTGTTTTCACAAACTGGAAGAAAAATAAAATTTATGTCAATCGCTAAACGATTTAGAAAAGTGGAAGAACCCACAACTTTGTTTATTCTGTCTCTTTTCTTTTTTTTCCTCGACCCCTTGGTGAAAAAGTGAGGTCACTTTGTTCAAGCAGTCCTAGCAATTCATACGCAGTTCTTAGAACAAAGCTCCTCCGTGAAATGCAGCTTACTGGTGCCATAAGTCAGCTAAGGAAAAAGTAACGGATCTGGCACGACTCCAATATTTTTGCTGCTTACATTGTAGCATAGATAAATTTCTCACTAGCATGACCCGATGAACGGAGATTCAATTTAACTAAACGTACCTTCAATATATTTAAAAATTCTCACATCTTACAGAAAAAACATATGTCAGGTTGATACCTTCTAGTATGCTGGACATAGGCCAGTAGTAACGTCGATATTGGTCAGACGCCAGAGCTCAATTCCCAGTACTTTAAAATTTTTCTAAGGATTGTCGCCTCTGATTTATAGACGTCAATTATTTACCTTTCTGGAAGGAGAAGTTATTTCATTCATAAATCTTTTTTTAATAAAATTTGAAACTTTTATTTCTTTCGATTGAAAAAAAGAAACGCACTCTTATCAATAATCAATATGACTTGAAGCTTTTTAAAACCGTTCTTGCACTAATTTGAAATTAATTAATTCAATTAAAATAAATGAAAATGTATTATTCCATTGGAATAAATTAAATTGAATTGTATTTGTAATGTACTGAAACAAATAAGAAATGAAAACTCAATTTAAGATGCTATCTGGGATACTACGTCTTATCGTGGCTAACAGAATACTTCAAAAACTAAGCTTGGCCTAAAAAATGTCTGACCAAACATTTGAGGAAATATCTGGGAATTACATGCGGTTAATGCATCAACCATGTAGACGTTGACCAAGTTCTGCATAAGGGAGATACCAAAGCATTCCAGGCAAAGCTCCTTTTGACAGTAAATGAACGTTTCCCCTTGTATAGTAGCTAGGTCGCTGCATGTAAAGAAAAGTTATTTGCATAACGTCCAAGTAGTAGGAATTCTCAGGACTGTTGAGAGAAGATAAAGGTAAAATGTCACCATATAAGACATGAAGACTCATCATTAGCTTTAGTGTTTTTATTGGGATCTTTTGCGAAATTAATTCTCCCAAAAGTCAATTAACGAACGTTGATTCATTGCAAAATTCAGTAAAGTAGCTTAGTAATTAAGGATTAAAGGACTTGTAAGTGCTTTGGTTAGGTAACAAGACTTCACTTAGCCTTCATTGAGTAGACGAGCTACTGCGAATTTAACATGTGTATCAACCTGATTTGCATGAACCTAAGTGAATTTCGTATAAGTGAATCAAGTGAAATGAAGATCTACTTGAAACATATGAATCTGTAAAAGCACGTACCTGAATGAGATTGCGATGCTGACAGCAGGGTGAACCAGCAGCACATCAGAAACTGCTTACGCCACATGACTGCTCAAAGGTGATCTATGTTATCTAGCCCCATCCGCGGGTTTGTGGTTTTTTTTTAGTCATCTGCAATAACAATAAAATATTCAATTAGAAATTCTATTGGAAAAGAATATTTAATTAATGAATTTTAATATAAACGTCTTGATTAATTAAAAGCAATTCATGTTTAAAGAATCAGCAGAATAGGAACGATATTTTATGCTAAAGTCCAAAGTCAGCCAGCACTTTATTAATATAAATAAATTGTTTGTTGAGAATAAGAGAGATTAACTTTTCAAAGTTCACGCTTCTGCTTATAGTTGGAGCGAATTTTAATGAAACTGTAATGAAAATAAAATCAATAGAAGTATAAAGAACATAAAACTTTTATGACACCATTCTCTTACTCTGAGGATTATTTTAAATATTTTCTTTATCATTTATTCAATACATCATGAGTATATATTGATAAAAATGATGAATTTTTAGTCAGGAATTAAGTAGTTGATACTGTGACTAATGATCTTATTTGTTTAAATTTGTGTACTAGAATAACTTGGAATGCAAATACACTTGAAATTCCGGTATGTCTGTGAGAACTCAAGTGACCATGTTGAAAGACATTGAAGTGAGAAGTTGAGTAACAAGGCCTCACGTTCTATTCTCTTTTGTTAATAAAGCCAAGCCATTTTCTACAAATAAATCGCAGGGACATGTTTGACAATGAAACTTACAATGATTTTTAGTTTCAACTTATCTGCATGCTACTTCTCAACTCGAGTTTGATGTAATTATGTCCAGCTGGAACTAAGTAAATTCAATGTTTAAGTTCTGAGTAAGTTTCAGGAGGGTTAAATAAACAGTATTTACAGTAAACTTTGTTCGTATACAAAACACTCACTGAGCCACATTTAAATCAGTTATGAAAGTAACAGAATGGAGGTTCATTTTATCTTTAAAGTAATACAGGCTGATATTTTTTTTAAAATTATTCTGATATAGTAATACCACTTTCATGATATTCTATATAATTTGTAACAGAATATATTGCTTTATATGGTGCAGTGCTCTGGAGCGCAGAATTTTGAATTGACAAGTGAGAGTTGTATGCTCTGAGTAAAATGCATCACTGTTGAGGTATAGCGATAGACGTCTGGATAAATATTATAATATTCTAGAGATGTAAATAGATATAGAACTCGTCTAGTTCTTGGCAAGAGTTCAACATCATAACAAGCAAGTTTTCCATAATAATACCATCTTGTATCTGTACTTTTCACTTTTCATCAATTTTGGGATAACTAATGTTTCATCTATGATTAAACCAACCATCGCAAAACAAGACTGATTAATGATAATTATTCTTTATTTACTTATTTATTTTTAAAATGTTGGAAACACATAAAGTCTCAATGTCGTTTGTTAGCTGATAATTTTTTTTTTAGTGTAGTATTTTCATGTAGCTTTTTTTTTGATCAGAAAGTTTGTGAAGAAAGTTCTGTAATGCACAAAAGTTCATTTTGTTATTTTTGGGAGGCCTTCTTGACATGTGCGATTAGCTGGTACTTGGATCTTAAAACGACCTGATTTTTTTTAGACTTTTTCTTTCTTGAGCTAGTGACCTTTTTGAGTGGATACCAGAAGGCTGAATGGAATAGAGTCGAGTGTAAAGACCTTGTGGCTATTTTTCATTCGAAAACAATGTAACTGTGAGGATAAATATTTGTTATTAATTATTTTTGTGCTATTTCTTTGAATCCTATTAAAACATTCCGACTATTTTTTTGAATGAAAATTTTTTCAATTCAATTTCAACTCCCTACTGACAAACCACACTATTTTTACTGTATCCAACATTCGATTGGCTTTTTATGTTTCATTCCCAAATAATGTGAAATACTAACACAATTATTCTTGTATTTCGCTTTTTATCTAGAATGGTCAGTTATTTCTGGAATTATTGGCCAATTTTTACAGAATTTCTCCAACGTGTAGATAGATAAACCGTCAATAATTTTTTAAACTCATTTTAAAAAAGTGTTTTCTTGATTCTGTTCAATAATTTTATATGTCAAATATCTTGATATTATCAATTTAACACTTAGATTTTTTTGAAAGGTTATTTTTAAAATTATCAATTGATAATCTTTGTCTTTTGTAGACTGAATAATTCAACGGTGATCTGTTAAAAATCTCAAAAAATTTGATCTCAAAAATTGGTGATTTAGTACTTTTTTATTGGTGAATATTCCCGGACATCTTTTTTACTTATGGATGCATTTTAGAGGAAAAGTCTCCACTGTCTAGTTGATGTATATACACATATACATCAACACTGACGATTTTTCCAGATTATTGCTCTTAAATTTTTTTTATTGAAATTGTTAATGTCATTCTGCAGCTGTAAATTTGTTTTATTTTTTCTTTCTGTTCAAGACTATCTTCCAGGTGTTGTTATTATCTAAAAAAAATCGTAGATTAATAAATTTAATTAAAATTATTCTTCTAGAATTAAAAAACATTAATAAAAACTGAATAACACAGCACCATTTCTATTGTTGTATTGTTCTACGAATCGTAAACTGCTTTATTTCATTCCATTCAATTCTGAATTTCTATTGAGAATGAAGTTAAAATATTTTCAACTTCGTTATTTATAATAATGTTGATTATTATTGTATTCAACATATTTTTGTTTTAAGTTTTAATTCAAAAAACCATTATCAAATAATAATGATAGTCATAATAATAATGATTCAGCTTTTTGAAGAAAAATAAAAAACTTTTCTGCAAAAAGTATCTGACATCTAACAAATACACTTTTATATTGACAAATAAGCAAGAAATCATTGCATTGCACATCAAAATAAAATTCTCACATAAATAAACCGCATTTTCCACCGTTCTACACACATCAAACGCATATTAACGTGACATATATCATACGAATGCGTAACTCGTCACATTTCCCTTTAGTTTGACGCTCAAGCCGATCATAAGACGTGACAAACATCATTATAATATGGAAAAATACTTTGCATTTTATGTATATATCATAAAATAAAATGAAGTAACAAAATATTCAGAATAAATATTACTTTTTGATATTCCACAGTTGCTTTAAATGAAGCTAATATTTTTATTGAATTTAGTAGAATTTAGCATTCATATTGAAATTACAAAAAAACGTTCTAAAAAGAACATAAATTACATTTTTAAGTTTTGGATCACTATTGAAACTTTAATTTCTTATGGTAATTCATTTTACATCTATTAATATTTCAGTCTATGGAGCAAGAACTTCTCTAGTTTCTAACTAAAAAGAAAATTGTCTACAATAAAATTCAGAGAGTACAGAAAAATGAATAAGAAACACAGGGAAAAATATAGCACATATTTAATTTTTATCAAGCTCTAATGACTGTTTAACGAATACCAAAAAAAATAATGAAAAATTTAATATAAATAATTATTTCCAGAAATCAGGTTGAAAAAGGAATTCAAAACTTGAAAATAAAATAAGTGGGCCCTTTCTTGTGGCTTTCATTCTCATGATATAATTAAAATGATGAATAGAATAGAATGCGAATGGTATGTACAATTTCATTAAACAAAATTCTGTTGGTTTACAAACTACAGAAAGTTCAAGTTGAAGTGCAGAGTAGCCAGTAAGGGATTAGTTCTGTAGAACGTGGCCCTAAGTTTTCAAGCGTGACTGTTAGGTTGGTCAGTAGGGACTTGGAATCGCTGCCGGGCGTGGTCTTTGGCCATCTCGCAAGGGAGGGTTATTATTCATCACGGTGTTCTTGTTGAAGGAGCACGAGAAAGCGAATGCGAAGGATGGAAATGCAGAATTACTTTCGGTGCGCGAATGGTTCAAGAGGTTAGCTTTAATGAACTTTGCATAATATTATTCACAGAACGTATTTTCACTTGTTCCAACGACAACCTCAGGTGCTGGTCGTTGGCACATTCATTTAAGCAAAGTCAAATTCAAGTGGAAAATCATTGAGTGTTTATTTTAAATAGTAGTATAATTTTAAGTTGAAAATTTCTTTTATCATTATCCGTTGTTTAGGTAATAACCATTTTCGTAATTTTCTTCTTATTTATGTCAACAAACATCCCATAGGTTATCATTAATTAATCCTCTGGCATGTTATCAACATGTTTTACATATCAAAAGGACACTGGTAATTTCTAGAGTAATCTACAGTCGGCTATATCTTGAGGGAAAGCTCGCAGTTTCCACAAGTTGTGTTTATGTCTTTACGTACCTCTTTAGATTATACTTTATTACCACAGTAGACAGAAACTTCTCGATAAAATTTTGTAATTTTTTACATCTTCTCATTAACCCACATTCATTATTATACATTTATACAGATTAAAATGCTGAAGAATTTTTTCTTCCAACTTTTATTTATAATCTTCATCGTAGATAAACGATATAATTTATTGCTTGATTAATCAGCGATTCCACTAGGAAAATTAAATTTTGTTTTATGTTAAGCTGATGGCTCATTAAATCTAATTATTATTACATAATTTACCATCTCAACCGAGTGATTTCAAACTCATATTCCGTTTTACATAATTACATTACTTATTAATGGTACATGAAAGGATCACTTGATTTTATGTAAACTCGATTGATTGGCCGATATAAATATCGTCATAAATGAGTAAATTGTATATCAATTTTATGTAATACCATGGATATGTCATATAATATTTGTTTGCCATAATAAATTAGTTACTGACACCAGGTTGGTAAATACAGATAAATAACATTTTTTTTCAGTCAGCTGCCATTCCCAGAATTTCTCAAACAAAGTTAAATTGGTATATAAATTTGAATAAACATCAATTTAGTGTTGGCCATAATCGATTTTCACGATAAGCATTGCATGTGACGATGCAAAAAGGAAAAAATATTCTGCTGAGCTTTTAAGTTGTGGTCTACATAACCACTCAAATCCTCAGATTTCATATGAAATCTAACATAATCTTTCATGATGCACTAGACAGCTATAAGCGTCATAGTAGCTCACTTAGTTGAGCATATTTTAACACAATTCTTG